CGCCGCCATTTCTCCCGCAGCGGCCACTCCGCGAACTACACGGCTGCACGTATTCGTTCATGCAGGTCGAGTCGCGCAAGGGCAGGTGGAGCCATCTCGCTGCACCATCTTGCAATACAGCTATATATAAAGCAACTTTCATGTTTTGACTCTTCGCTAAAGGGTGGCGCTACTATCGTATCTAGTTTGGTCTCGGTGGACGCCAGCGGCCCAGGTTTCAAGGGTAAGTTTCCCGACATGAGTGTTCAAGTCACGTTGGCTTCAATGCAGGAGGCATATATGGCGGCGGCCACCGGCAGTCGGCCTCTGGGTCACGGCGATCGTTTCGTTCCTTTCGTCGTACAAAATATACAAAATTGAAACCCTAACCTCAGAAATAAATTAAGGATATAGCGTGTTTTTTATTATAGAAATGCAAACTTGTAGAAACGGGTACACTTAAAATTACTCTCAGCAACATTTTGAATACGGCACTACGACTGCCGCGGCGTTCGAATAGGCCGACAGCCCGGAAAGGAAGAAGAGCAGGAAAGTAGAAAAACCCAAATGGCACCTAAGGAGAAGCCCAACTTCCAGGATCGCCTCCTCCTTCTAACGTTGGTGACGTCATGCTTCCAAGCGCTACGGCCTATAAGCGCCGTGAAACTGAAGGAAAGAAGAAGACGACAGGTATTTTCTGGCTACAGTGATTTAAATAAAACCAATTTGATTTAAATAAAAAAGAATTCGATTTAATTAATTTTATTTAAAAATCACAATGTTTCCCCCTGTCAACAACTTCCCGGATGCAGTGAGTACGATAAAAAAAAAATACACAAACCCGCACGAAGTCAACTTCACTCTTCATTCTACGTATAAGGATGCCAGCTGTCCTGTCCATATCCCCTTGCCTACATCGAATGTATCACGCCCGACAAATGCGCCGCTTCTATTCAGTCAGCCGCAAAACGTGTCCCTCTTGTTCGGTCTCCTCCATAAACTCCTTAAAATTCCATTAAACTCGTATAGCAGCCATCCCCTCTCCAACGCAACCACCAACCCAATGCTATCACGCTTCTCCATACCAAAACATTTTTTTCCAAAAGCCGCCTTCTCCCCCAAACAACCTATCCTTACATAAACTCCCTCAAAAACCCACTTCAAGGGAGCACATATACAGTGGAGTCACAGAACCACGAAAAAGGCACCCTCGTTCCCATTGTAATTCGTCAGCTGTCCCCTTCTCATAATGGTGTGCCTTTATAAATCTACTATATATATATAGTTAGAACTATATACCACAATAGCTTTATGTATGTTGTATTCCCCTCTCGTATTATATGGAGTGTCCACAAGCGAGCGACGACAGCTCGCAGTTGATCACGCCACGCAGGGATTTGCAGGGTCTTTCATCTTTCCCTTTCCCCGTGTTTCCCTCTCCCTCACCCCGTCGCAACAAGGGGCGGGAATGGTTAAGGGTGGAGAGGGTACCGAAATCCGTTGGAGAATGGCTATATGGCGGCGCGTTGGGACCTCGGGCCACATAGCTGCAGGGGTTGTAATGAACGTCAGATTGGGCACGTAATTCCCGGAGGGGGGAGTTGGCTGCTCCGCGGCCCGAGTACCTATTGTACGTGACAATGGATGCCGTCCCGGCGTGTAATCCTGATCCTGCAGGGACACGGCGTTAATGCGTCTTCATCTCGACTCACCGTGCACACTGGCGCAGCGAAGGCTGCCCAGAGTATATGTAGGATCGAGGTTCTCCTCTCACGCTCGAATGTGTTTCCGTTCGTCCGAATGCGTTCAGACACTCGCGACATTTCGGCCCACGCCACGGGCGTGCGCCCAGGCGTTATAAAAGGCAGAACACTCGCGCTGGAGACGAGACATTATACTGGATCATCATTAAAGGCCGTTTTGATTACGCGCTTGCGACGAGAGAAAACAGACTCTAGCACGCTGGCGCCATCTATACGGTGACCCTGGAACTGCATTTCACTTAGAGCCAAGGTTTTTCAAATATTTCGGAGATCAAATTCTCGCATACTAACCATTAAAAATAATCGTTTCGTATAACAAAAATAAATTTCCAAGCTAAAAGAAAATGATGCACGAAAAAAATAAGAGGAAATATACGGGACTCTCATGTGCTCCACGGCTACCCGATAGGGCTGGGCGTCGATTAAAAGTCCTAACTCTATTAATCGTCACTCTTTAATCGATTAATTAATCGATTCATCGGTCTCGTTAATTTTCATCCATAATATTTACAAAAACAAGTAAGAATTAATATCTGTTTTCTGGTTTTGCATCTGCTGAGTATGAGGTAAAGGGCAGATTATGAAATTTGTATTGTGAATCAACCTTGATGTGCAGTTAAGAACAGTTCAAAGGCACTCACACTCACAAATTATTACTTCAGCTGCTTGAGGTAAAAAGGTTCGTCGATATTATCCGGCCAGAGCAACCTCGTTTGATCGTTGACACAAGTCTTTGCAGCGCTAAACGGACACTTGAGCGGCGTTGAAGTTACCGCGCGACACCTGTAACCTTCTCCACTTCTCAGCAGTTACAAATCTTGCCTTTATACAGTATACTTTAGGTTACATTTTGACAAAGTTTGCCCTTCATACAGGTGTTCTCGTCCACTTCTGCGTGGTGAAAGTGTTTACTTTTTACTTTGTTTTGGTTCGCTAAAATATTACCGATTAACCGGTTAAAAAGATCAGCGCGAAGGCCGCGGGAAATCACTTTTAAACGTACACACCGCTGAAACCCCTGCCTTCCCGAAGAGTCACGTCATAAAAGGAGTTTTCAGAATTTCCGCTGTCGCGCAACTTTAGCGCCTCTAAAAGCTATATATGCACGCGCGCTGCTGCTATTTTCAAACAAGTCAGAAAAAGGCCTCACGATTGGTGTCAGTGCGGATGGATACACCTGGCAAGCTTGCAATTACACGCGCTGCCCACACGAGCGAAACACGCTTGGCGACGTAACGACTGATCGAAGGTTTGTCGGGTTTTCTCGCGTTTAGTTAGACCTTTGGAGAAAACGAACATGATTTTGAGATCCACGGGATAAAACTACGCCAGAATCAACCCAATATACTTTTTTTCTAAGAAGCGTTTCAGCTTCTCTTTAATGAAACCGTGTATTTGCATATACGCCTGCCGGTTTTCAAACAACAAATTCCTTTACTCGATTAGCGCATTTCGAAAAACTATCGATGAGCCTCAAAATGTTGACCAACCTAATATGATTACGAAAACTAATACTACAATTGCGAAAAACGAGGAAAAAGGCCTAAATACGCAAATTCGCTGTAAACATGTGCATTAGCACTGCGCGAAGGTTTTCATATTTGATTGATGCTAAGCTAATGAACCAGTAAAATATAATATTTGAGCTGCTGGGTATTTGCGTCTCGCATCGCCAAACCTGAAAGAAGCCATGTAATTTTAAGGCCTTAAAATCTTCTACAACCTCATTCACAATCTTCCAAATAACAAGAAAACTGTTTAAAATGTTTCTTATGAAAAAAAAAAACTCATAATCATTATATGTTCACAGATTTGTGTTCAAATGCCAAACTCTAACGAACTACCAATTGCAGGACTCCAGCCATACTTAATAATGCCCTCCTCTTTTCATCAGATCAAACAGAACAATCATGTATTCTGTTCTGTCATCTCCCAGACTTCATAAGCTTATCGAACAGTGACAAATGGTGCAAACAATCAGGTCCCTCATCGTTTGTTTTTAGTCTTTCGTAAATACAGTATTTACGGCACACAGTCTGTTATAGTACCACCGCATTGTGGTGTTCGTTTTTTTCATACATATTTCTCATCGTAATTTCTAGTCGTATCCGTATACGAAAAAAATATTATATATCAAGACAACAGGCTCAGTTTCAGGTTGTTCAGTTTTCCTCATTCCTCCAAATATTTGTACGAACTCATTTTGTGTTAAATGTTCAGTATTGTCAACTTGATGATTATTGTATCAAATACTAACATAAATAATTACTTTTAAAAAAGTATATTACCTCCTGTGCGAATAGGCGACATAGAAAGCATCTACGGTATTTTTGTTTCTTCAGAACTGCAAAATTCAGTAAGGAAGAAGTTCCATATAGTTGTAGAATCTGACTCTTGTTTAAGAGTGAAATATTCCATAAAGTATTGATCAGGAACGTCGACAAAAGGGCGAAAAGATCACAATATGACCACTTTATGATCGATCGCCGTTAGTGTACACTTTGAGGCTTATCATCCTTTTTGTCGTTTCATATGACCAACAAAAGAGGAGTAAAGTTCGAGCATTGATGTACGGAAATAAGAGCATCGGGAGGATTTTGGAACGCTCTACTTTTTGAACATTGTTGTGTCCATGTTTCTCACATTTAAAACACTGGAATTAAAAATAAAATACCGGATTTTAATGTATAATGTCCATCTATGTCATATGAATAAGGATGGGTATGGTGACTGCACTGGCAGCTTCTCACGTGAACGTTTTATGTCAACAAGAGCCACTTTCATGTTGAAGAAATCCATGCGATGTAAAGGTACGGAGGTAGAGGTGACCACCTTTATGAAGCGTTATCCCGAAGAAATAGATATAGCGAAGTAAAGATGAAGTGCGCTTGTATTTTACTCGAATTCCATATTGTGTGCACATTTATGTATACACTAAACTATATCACATCTATTACTAGTGATACTTTTGTTTAGATAAATGTATGTCATTGTAGATGGTGTATATTATCACGACTTCTCCAAATTTATTGCTTTGCACCCTCATGTATTCATGCATGTGACCCGTGCCTTTGAGCTAAAAAAAAGAAATCGGTATTCTAGGTATTGGTAGGATGAAGGTACTGACATTGTGACGATTATTCTTGAGAGGTCGAGTTGAAAGGTCCGATAGCATGTGCACAGGACAGCAGCGATAATGGCAGTATACCAGCAAGCAGCACGATTGGAAGCCAAGCCGCAGAAGATGGGAGGCCCGACTCACCTGTTCTTTGCCGCCGCTGCCCTGTCCCTCTGCCGCCTGTTCTTGAACCAGTTGCCGACCTGGGTGGGCGTCAGACCCGTGGCCTGGGCCAGTTCCCGCTTCTTGGTCGGGTTCGGGTACGGGTCCTGGAGGTACCACTCCCTGAGCAGCGAGCGGGTCCTCTCCTTGAAGCAGTGGGTCTTCTGCTCGCCGTCCCATATGGTGCGTGGCAACGGGAACTTCTTCCTCACGCGGTATTTGTCCACGGGTCCCAGGGGCCTGCCGCGCAGCTTCTCGGCCTCCTGGTAGTGGGCCTCGAGCCACATGGCCTGCAGCTTGGCGTGCGAACCCCTGGCGAACCGGTGGCCCTCGAGGATCCGGTAGAGTTCCCGAAAGTTGCCCGCGTGGAAGGCGACCAGCGCCCGCGCCCTCAGCACGGCCTCGCTCTTGTTCAGCTCGGCGCAGTTGGGGTGGGCCACGGGCAGCGACCACAGGAACCGGCCCAGCCGCTCGACGTCGCCGCTTTCTTCGAGCGTCTCGCACACGGCAGCCACCTGGCTCACCGAGAAGTTGAGCGTGGGCAGCATGAGCATCGGGGCGGCTGGGAACACGGCCGCGGGTCCGGCGCCAAGAGCCATGCCGCACGTCGCAGACCCTTCCTGGAGGACGCCGCGACGCCCGACAGAAGACGTGTCCCCCGGGGACGCCGACGTCTTGGCGCGATGGTGCTTCAGTGTCGGCGTCGTCTGCTCCGAACGACCGTCTGCCACTCCACGGATGACCGTTAGGCGTTTCGCGTAGCGGACGCTACGCCGTCGTCGGCCACTCGCACTGACCGTTGGACGAAGGGCGCAGCAGGCGCCACGTCGTCGTCTGCCACCGCACCTTAGCAGACGGCTGCCCCCGTAGCAGACGATCTCGCGGTGCGTGGCCGTTGGCTACACCACCGATCGTTGAGACGTATCTTGGCCGCTACGCCGGCGTCCGGGCGGATGCGTGGGGTGGGGGGGGCCAATCAGCTCGTGGCGGATGGGCCACGATGCGAACGTAGCGCTCGCGCGCGCGCGACCTAGTGGGGTTGTGCGCGGCGGTTTGTGCGGAGCCGGCTCCGTCACCGATAGGGCTGGGCTTCATCCTCGTAGTCGGCTCATCGGGGATCGGTAGCGCCGCCCTTTGGCGAGCCTGCGAGCGTCGCCGTGGATACGGCCCGCCAATGGGATATCACTGAAAGGGGCTCGCCTTCTTTCCACGGGCACTGATCCCCCTCCCCGAGGACGGGCGCGCACGCTGAAGAAGGCCTCCCCCCTCCTGCGTTGCGGGGCGGTCGAGTATGCGCATGCGCGTGGTTGAGCAGGGCCGCGGAAAATATACTCGTTTGGAGGCTCGCTCGGAGCAGCGAGGCAGATGCAAGTCGTCGTTCGGCCGGTGTGGACGGCCCGTGCTATCGCGGACGGCGACTGGTGTAGTGTGCGTGGACTGTGTCCTCAACACTTGCGCGTTCTTGGCGTCGGCGGCGTTTCATTCGGTTTGGAGAGTGTCCCGGGGTTGACGGCTGCTTGGGACGACATTGGCCATTATCAGGTGAAATTTTCTGATATTTGTGCATGCATTCATTGAGTCCTTACATTGTCAGTGACTCTGCTTAGATAACATCAGTAAACCGATCAAAATGTAGCGCAGTACTGTATAGTCCTCCCGGAAAAGAGGCATGCGGTACTAATCTGCAGCTTATAGTCTCCCTATTTACCAGGGGTTTTCCCAGGAATTGAGATGGGGGGGGGGGGGGGGGGGGGGGGGGTCTAAATTCTTACGGGGGAGGTGGGGTTGGAGAAGGGGGGAGGGAGGGCGGGGCATTGAGAATAGAGGAATTGTACCGAATTAAGGGTGTATAACTTCAGAAAAACAAGACGGGGGTTTACACCCTTTCTCCGCCCCCCCCCCCCCCCCCCCCCCCCCCCCCAAGGGGATGTGAAAGGAAATCACTGCAGTTTAAACAGACTGATTTCAAGCACACGTGGAACTCAATATTTTTACGTATTTGTGCTTTATTGTTTCACTTCCAATTGTATTTTTAGTTCCGAGGAATGACTGGTTAAGATTGCATTTATAGACTGTAGAATATATGGCGGTTTTATGACTCCTTAGATTGCACACATTTTGCGATTTTATTACAGCAACCGCGTGTAGGGGGCAGTGACTTCGTCAAATTGCGCTAGCGTGTTTTCAGCCATACCTTCCTGCCAACCTGGGAAGAGAGTAATGGCCGAACGATTATCTTCGAGGCAGCGCAACAAAATGAAGTGAATCTTTAAACTCTTCTTTTGAGCAAGCTGGACGTTCATTTTATGTTAACCGCCGCGACTCAAGACAAGTCAGTTGTAATGAGCAGGTCATGCAGGTGAGAGCGAAAGTAACATGTTTAGCTGATGTCACTATAGTGTGGCCCGATATATAGGACATTTGTGGAACGGGTTCCAGTTGACTTCATTAGTCTAATAACGCGTTACTACTGACGTCGTTAGTCTAAAACGTCCGCGTCATAAGTGAAACACGTTACTTTAGTGGTATGGCGGAGTAAGGTATTCATTTGGGTCATCTCGCCCTTCTTTTTCCTAATTTCTTCGAAGGTATAGTCCAAATATGTCATTCATACAGGTGGACGATAATCAGATAATTATATTTCTTTGAACAAAGTTATCTGCTCGCACCGATCGAGCGAACTGTCGGCTGGAAGCAGACGGTGCTAGCGAGGCCTTCTGGGAGTAGCCGGGTGGAACTGACGTCTTGCTTGTTCGTCGTTTTCATTCGACGACGACGACGGGTCTTTCTCCGTCCTTGTCAGTTGCGTTGTTTATATTATATATACGTACCAGCTAGTCCAACTATTCGTTCTGTTAAGCCTAATCAGACGACACTTCGCTGCCTATCTGCAACTGTTGCTGCACGTCGTCATAGCAGAACTTAGCTCTGAGCTCGAGGTATACGAGACGCAGTTATACGAGAACGCTAAACGAGCACAAAGCAAGCCGAGGTTGGCAAGTACCGGATGGATGAGTGACTGGCGGCTATGCCCTTTGTAATGGACGGCATCTTGCGCCACCTATATCCTAGACCGCGCAGAGCGCTTGCGCAACCTGGTCTGCCTCCGGGCAAGTAGCGTGTCGCTACGAAGCGAGCTTCCAAACACGCGCACCAAGGGTTGCGTACAATATACTGATTTAAAAAATGCTTGACACGATCTCGCTCGAGATAATGTAACTTACAAGTAACTGGTGTGCCATAAATGGCATTAGGACCAACAATTGTCACCCCAAAATATCGGTGCAGGATCCCTTTGACGCTTTAATAGCCCATGCCTTAAAAACAACAAAATTATTGACTAACCATATCGTCATTTTTCTGTTCGGACATTAGTTCGTTTTGTTCTGATGGGCTGAAGCTGCGATTTTACTGGCCATCCACTGACTTTACTGACATCTTTATAGAGCTGTCAGTGCCAATCCTGAAAGGTAAAGTTTGACTCCAGAACATTTTCCTCTAACAATTCGTTATCCTTTGGTAAAAATGTACAAATTAAAAGCATATCATATAAACACAGACAGCGCCAAAACACAGGGACACGCAGAGTAAACATTCGCATGACAACACAAGGCGTTTTTGCTGGCGTCAATCCTTACTGTGTTCCTGTCTTTTGGTGTTTTTAGCGCGTAATGAAATGAACTAACTACTTCAACTCACCATTGTAGTACTAATAATCTATTTTTTTCACTTTATGAAATACCTCGCAGAGTATATTACGAAATATTTTGGGTTACTAATAGCATATGAAACACACTTTTAGTAGTATGACACGAGGAGAGCACATCTAAAATATAAAGTATAAGGAAGAATACATGAGGTATTACAAGCAAGCTAAGATATACTTAAAACAAGTGTATACTTGTCTTTTTATATATATATATATATATATATATATATATATATATATATGTATATAAAAGCACAAGAAAATATAGTTATTTTGAATTACTTTTCACCAAGCGATATGTGTAGGCCATCTAAGGCTTTGCGTATGTAAGACAAACACTTGGCAAACAAATATTGATGCCTCACTTCAAGATTCACCAATCGAAATTTCTATTTTTTTTTATCACCAGCACTATATTTTACAGATGAGTGTATAGCCTAATTTCAGTTCCAGAAGTACATATTTTGTCGCTGCGGATGTCATCTACACCGAAACGAACGGACTTCTAAGCAGTGTATACGGCTCGAAACGTTGTATACATTCTGCAAGTTCGTCGATGATTCTTTGTACGCAAAGCATCGCTGAATAATATCCGTTGATTATTGAATGAATCATATTCTCCCCTGAAAACGCCTTGCAACTGAGGTTCGGCGAAGTTATTAATTTATGGCCGATAATTCACTGGCAAAATATATTTCACAGCTGGGTAGGCTTTGTAAGTATAATGGCTGTTTATTTGCTGTTCACACAAAACAATTTGACGTGTTCCCAGGAATATATATATATATATATATATATATATATCACCTGTTGCTAAAACGTTTAACATTCCAGGGAACACGTCATATTGTTTATATATATATATATATATAGAGAGAGAGAGAGAGAAAGAAAGAGGTAATACATTTTACGGGTGTAGGGTGGACACCAGAAATTATACACCAGCCAGAAAGCTGAACAGTACATTATATCTGTCTGTTATCCGAAAGATAGCTGCACAGAAAGATAGAATCGAAGTTCTTTTTGATTAACAGGCTGTAATGTCTACGCTTGATAAAGACCGGCTATTGAGTATTTTCAAACATCTGGCCTTTCTAATGTGCTCGCCAAAGAACTAACATTATCGCATTTTTCTGAGAGCATTTTAGTCCGTTCGAGAAAAGGTTCTTCTGTTTAAGATCCTAAAAGGCTCCAAACATAGTCGGCCGACATGTGAAAAAGATATCTGAATAGGGATGATAAACTCTAACCAAAACATCCCATCCATCCTGCTTAAAAAGGCACCACAAGGTTGCCAGCGATATTTGTTAAATTCTTATTATTAATATGATAATAATTACTATTATTATTACAACCGAAAGTTGAGTGTTTGCCAAATGAAAGAGAAACAATTATTTTTGGGTCACTACAAGGGTTAAGAGTTTTAGTCATGTCCCATATCTAAACTTTAAGGGTAATCTCAGAGCAAACTACCTTTTCGCCAGCTTTATTTAGTCTTGTGCGAATAGTGGATTTTGAGTTGGAAGCGAATTTGAAGCGAATAGTGGTTTCGCCGAATATTTTCGATTCGAATGTCGAATAGTTTTTCCACGCCTTTCACTACCCTTGCATAATGCTTAGACGAAAACCCAGCTAAACTTGTGGAAGGTTGTTCCACTTGTTCATTTATAAGCTAAGTTTAATCAATCTATATTTTTGAACTGTGACTTCATAAGATTTGATGTCTTGGGATGGCAAGTAAACTGGACGTATTTGGTATACATAACGAATCCTATATATAGAGATGGCCAATTATACCCAATGAATTTATTTACAAATATTGCTCTATGAAATATTATTTCTTTAATCTCGAGTTAAAAAAGAAAGAATAGCGCATGATCAACGCAGGTT